TCTCCAAAATTGTACCATTTCCACCCTAAACCATTTTTATATTGTATTGATTCATTTCCTTCTGAAGAATCTTTAACTTTAGTTTTATATATAGGAGCTCTTCCTGTGTTTCCATGAATTTGTTCACTTATTCCTTCATTGTGTAAATGTTTTACAATATTTTCAAATTTATGATCACTTATATTGTATAACATTAAAATATTGGTTTGCAAAGAGAATATGCTGAATTAAAACAAAATTGATAATTTATTCTTTGAGGAATTTTTTCAGAAGACTCTTTAAAATTTTTATTTTCTATTTCCATTGCCAAAAGTTGTGCTTTCAAAAATAAATCCAATTCTTTGTTAGTTAAATTAATAATTTGAAAATGTCTTTGAAAAAATTTTTTAAATCCAATTTTTTCAAAACAAGTTCTAATGTCTTTTTGTTTTTTCAAAACATGGCAAACACAACTTGTTGGATTTTCAAAAAAAATTTTTAAATTATGAATAGTTTCTTGAATATTTTCATAACAATCATATTCTTTTAAACCAAGTTCAAATAAATCATAAAAATATTGAGAAGTTTCTTGATTAATTGTCATGTTTAATTATTGTAAAAATATTAAAAATTATTTTATATGTACAAAAAGGGGTTAGTAATTTATTTTTAGAATAAAAATCAGGGGAATGTTTGACAAAAAAATAGGGAGAAAAACAAAAATCAGCTGATTTCTCAAAAACACCTTTTTTTCCCGAAGCATCTTTTTGCTAGGATGGAACCCAAATTCTCTCCACATTTTTTATATGTTAATCCCCTTTTCATTATTATAAAATTTAGAAACAAGAAAAAATTCTAAAAATTTCAATTTATCTGATCCATTTAAGGTTGTCCAGATGCATTTAGAACTTTTTAAATCATAAAATTCAAATTTGGTTATTCCAATTCTTCTGGTTTCTTCGATTATTCTATTAGCCATTTCATTTTCAAATTTTTTTAAATTTCTACAAAGGTCTGAAAATAAACATTCTAATAATATATCACTGATTCTAGCATTAAGTGCAACTCATCTGGTATCCAGTTTTTATTATCAATCATAGGCAATAAACAATCATAATTAAAACCTATTTAAAAATTATTGTTAATATAATTTTATAATTTAAATAAAAATAATATAAACTTAAATATTTACTTTGTTTTTTGTATTATAAGTGTTACTCCATTGAATATTCATATTTGCTCTTTGAAACTTTGAACAATCACAATAAAGACAAAAATATTCACTGGTGGGAGCTTTGATTCCATGAACTAATTGAAGAAATTTCCAATCAGCTGAAATAAAAAACTCAACATCCCAATGAAAATTATCTGGATCAATATATCCATTTGATTTTATATCTTTTATTTCATCAGTAAAATAACTCCAAGCAAGTTGTAAAGAATTTTTATTTTCTTTTCCAATATAAATACATATGCTAATTATATGTTAATTTTTATTAAAAAAATTTTTTTTAAAAAGGTATTATAAAAATATATTTACCTATGTTGATGATCAGGTTTTAAAACATTTTCACCTTCATTTAATAAGCAAAATGTTAAAATCACTTGATTTTGTTTCTTTCCGACCAAATGTCCATCACCACTTAATTTGATTTTCAATATATTATTAAAAAAACTAAATGTTGATGAACATTTTAATGGTGGTATTAAAATATTTAAAATAGATCTTATTGATCGATATGCTCCATCTCCATCATATAAGCCTACACTTTCTATATTAGTATTTTCATTAATAAAACTTGTTCCAACCCTACTATTATTTGCTGTTTGACTATTATTATTTGTTTGATTATTATTATTGTTTGTATCATTAACAAAAAAAGTTTTAATTGGAACTAAGTTATTAATAATATTTTGAATTTCAATACGTCATGCTTCAATTCTATAATAACATTCTAAATCAGGATATATATTTGTTAACATTCTATATGATTCTCTAGAAATAATTGCTTTGTCACAGGCATATACAACTGCATCCTGTATTATTGATATATTGTTAATATCCTCCAATTCAAAATCAAAATCATAATCCAATCCATCTATTTCTAAAATAATTTTTTTAAATTTGATGTTGTTTGATGGTGATGAAATGATATTATAATTGCTTAAAAGTTCAATATTATTATGATACATTTGTCTTCCAATTTCTTTTAGTCTATTACATCTTTGGGAGTTTGAATCTAAACCATTAAATAATTTTAAATTTTTAACTTTCATTAATTGATTTTGATTGGTAGTAAAAATAGAAGGTGAAGCAGTAGAAGTAGGTGTAGTAGTAGTAGTAATAGTAGGTGTAGTAGTATTATTAGTAGTAGTAGGTGTAGTAGTAGTAGTAGTAGTAGTAGTAGTAGTAGTAGTAGTAGTAGTAGTAGTAGTAGTATGTGTAGTAGTAGTAGTAGGTGTTGTTGTAGTAGTAGTAGGTGTTGTAGTAGTGGTGGTAGTAGTGGTAGTAGTAGTAGAAGAAGTGGCGGAAATGGTGATGGGGGTAGTGGTAAAATTGTTAGGTAATGAATAATTTATATTGTATAAAGGTTTTGATGGTAAAGAATAAAAAAACTTATTATATTTTTTATTATTACGATTAGGGTTGTTTGGATTAGAAATGTAAGTCATATAACAACTATTACATAAACAATCACCAACTTCTAATTTGGTATTTTCATTATTATATTTCTTTGAGGCAGTTTCTGACAACCTTCTCCATTTTCTTGGTTTATTAATTCGACATACTTGACAAGTATATTCTAATTCCTTCTCATTCCTTTTCATTCCTTACAAATAATTAACTGTATTACTATTATAAACATAATTTTTGAAACGGGATTCTTTTTTATTGGTTCCTTTTTAAGTGGGATTCTTATTACTACTATATTTAAAGGTCATAGGAGAATACCTTTACTTAGGAACACAAGAGTGATTATTATGTGTGTTATAGATTCGTGTATGATGACTT